ACCCCCCCCCCCCCAAAAAAAAAAAAACCAACGCAAACCCACAGTTCTTGGCAGTGAGTCTCAGAGTTTGGACCCAAATGTCTACACAGCTATTTTTAGCCTCGCGGCATGAGCTGGAATCAATTGACCTGGTCTCTGAGACTTGCTGCCCTGGTGTGCTTTTTTTGTTTTGCTGTGTAGACTTGCCCTGTGTCTCTTTGTGTCTTGTTAGTTTATTCATAAGTTTTATGTTTTTGATCCCTTTCATACATAATAATTCTAAAGATACTTCTTGGGCAGAATTCTGAAGAAAATTATGATTTTTTTATTTTATTTTCATGTCACATGATTATTAGTAGCTGCTTTATAGTACTGCTAGTGTCTGATCTCTGGGAATAAACTGAAGGATTAGCATTTTCTTGTCAGTCCACTGAGTTATTTCCTGTGTACTTTACAAATTCCATTGAAATCCTCAGTTTCAAAAAAACTTCAGTATGACAAGAGAATTTTCTGTTTTGAGAAAATTGCCCTTATTTGTTCCAGTGTCTAAACTAAGGGAGTTTCTTAATGTATTAACAGAATGGATGGTTCTTCCTCTCCATCGTGGTTGAGTTTGATTCAAAAGTATCTTATTTTCTCTCAGTCTTTCTCTCAGTTAAGACAGCCCTGGCTTCCCCCACACCTAGTTTTTTCTCTTGTTCTGTATACATTAATATAGCACCTTGCAGTTCATGTTGGTCGATGTGAGATTAAAAAAAATGTTGTTTACTACAAATGTACTACTAATTATACATGCTCATTATACTAATATACTGTAAAGTTATCCTTCCAGACTCAGCAGCTGAGAGCTATTGCATGCTAGCCAAAAACAAGCAAACTGAAACAAAACACTGTCTGCTAGGTAATATCCAGGGGATATGATGAAGAGAAGTTGCCCTCTGCAACTTTTGAGCAGAATATACTGTCTTTCCCAGGAGGAGGTGGAGAAATAAGAAACATATAAGGGTAATATAACCCATATGAAACAGATGGATAATATAGCAAGCAAAGCTGGGAAGGCGATTCATACATATACCTATCCACATGTTCATATGGTGATTGTCAATACAACTTTCATCACATGGTTATGCTTGCATGCCCGTTGTATGTCCTCTATTTGAGTATTATGGTTACTGTCCTAATAGCACCAGATGCTTTTAAAACAGTAAATACAACAATTAAAATGGAACAAAAAAGAGAAAACATGCATGCATGTATTAATAGATTTAATAACATTAAATGTTTAACCATGCTGTGTTATATTAGTAAAACATATGTTTAACATTGATACTTCTGAAAACACGGAAACAAATCAATCTAGTATCAAACCCCTTTTCTCCAAGGAGAGTTAGTCCATGTAGGACACTCCGGAGTTTTTGTAATGTTTTCTATTGACTAGTTATTACAAGTAGGTGAAATATGCTACTGTTTTGTTTCTTAATAGTTTTATTGCTTGTATTTTTAATGGTTGTTTGCAACATTGGCATCCCAAAACATTAAAAAAAAATGTAAAAATCACCTCCGTAACAAATTTCATCAGTCAACCAGCAAAAAACAATGCATGGATTAGAGATTTTGCCCCAGAAAAGAAGTGCCAGGGTTTCTCTGAAGTTCACTAGAGATTATTGCTATTGATTTGACATGGAAGACTCTCAGATACTATGGTAATGGATGACAGTAGAAAACCATAACTTAGATATCTCAGGCACTTAAAGTCTTTCTTGTTTTGTTAAAATTGAAATAAACAAGTCAGCTTCCAGAGTAATGGATTAGTACAGTTGATACCAGATTGGTGCATCTGAATCAGTACCAAGCTGTAAATAATACACTGCCTCCTTTATCAGAATTATTTTAAAAATTAACCGTTTCACAAATGAAGAAACACATTGGAAATTGAAGTTTGTGTTAAAATGCAATTTTGAAAATGTGATCACTAACACATACACTAAGAATAATACCTGCCCCACTAAATGAGGGGTGGGCCCACCATTTGCTCAAATTTACAATCTAGGGATCTGGTCAAACTCTGAGCTGCAATTAGAAGATCAAGTACATCAACAGCCAGGACAGCTTTTTATCATTTAAGTACAATCAGGAGTTGTCACTGTTCTTCTCTGCTATGACGGTCATTTGTGTCTTTGTCACTTTAAGATTAGACTACTTCAACTTACTCTGCATGGCCTTAAAATTGACCAGAAACTGAAGCTAGTGCAGAATGCCTCAGCCTTCTTATTAAACAGAATGTCTTGCCACAAGCATATTCAGGCCAAGCTTGATGACCTGCACTGGCTTCCTGAGGGTTTCCAGGTGAATTTTAAACTCTTTGTCTCATTTATCTGGAGAGCTCTTGTCCAGCTTAACTCTACATTAATTTGAGATCTGACAGAATCACAGCACAAGGTGATTTGACCGCAGCTGTGTGAATACAAGTTTCTGCTAGCATTGTCTTCCTACTCTCTAAGACAAAACGTTGTCATGCTGTTGGATAACTTTCCATTTTTTAATCACCCTTCCAGGAACTAACATTTTGGTGTGATGAGTGGACTGCAGAAGGGAATGGAAAAAACTGACTTTTTTTTTTCCCTTCTTCATATTACAGCAGACTAAAGAGCTTTCCCTCAATTCATATAATTCAGTGGTGTGAATTAATTGCTTCCAGGAGTCTGAATCATAAATGAATATTCATGTATATGTTTCTGATTACAGAAATCACTGCACAGTCAGATGCCAGTGAAATTCGACAGGACTGGAAACCTACATTCCTTAGTAACGAAGAGTTCACACAGTTAATGTTGGAGGTATATTACTATGTCTATCTTTTTGAAAAGAGAGGATTCTCCTTAGCAAACCACCACTATGTGATGATAGAATCTTTTAGCTTAATGGTATTCCTTTTCAAATCCATATTTTAATTGCAACACTATCTACCTAGAAATCTGCAAATAAGTATCTTTTTACAAATGTAATTTTAACTAAATGGGCTATAATATATTGTAAATACAAAAGTGTACTATTAAGTTTATGAAAACTGTTCTTTAAAACTATAATTAGAAATCATTTTTTTAAAAGGCATAACTGTGTATCTACACAAAGATGACTGGTACCTTTATGGCAGAGTTAACTTAGTTTTTTATGCTTAAACTAAATGCTAGTTACCAAAACTATTCAACATACTCTCTTCTTGATTGGAAGTATGGCTATAGCTTGTGAAAAGAGTATGCATAATAAAAAATGTCCTTTGCGTATCTGCATATTATCCACAAAAAAACCTATGTTAAAAAGCAGATTATTGAGGTTGCAAACTCAAGTACTCAGCCATTAGGAAATGCATTAAGGTTGCCTGTGCAACTTTAATTCAACCCCTTGTGCATATGCATTATGATACAGTCTTTAATTACATCATCACATATTACTTTTTCTCAATTAGTGCAAAGAATGGGCAGGGCTCGCTTAATGAGCAGATATTCAATATTCTGTTTTTTCCCCTGTGTTGCTCAACATGTAGCCCTCGACCTTATTTACTGCACATTATTAAAATTCTGCTCTGAAGATTGAATTATTAATTTCCTTATGGGCTTTTCTGTGGTGCTTACCACTATAGTATCAGAGTGCTTATTAAGCATCAATTTTGACAACACTCCTGCAAAGTGAGGGAGTGGTATAATCCCATTTTACAGATGGGTAACTGAGGCACAGAGAGATGACGGTCAAAATAATACCTACCTCTTGTATAGTGCTTTCATCAATAAATCTCAAACCACATATAAAGAAGGTAAGTGTAATTACACCTATTTTACAGATGAGAAAACTGAAACACAAAGTTAGGAAGTGACTGGCCCAAGTTCACCAAGCAGGCGAGTGGCAAAGCTGTGAATAGAACCCAGTTCTCCTGAGTCCCAGTCCAGTGCTCTATCCACTAGGCAACACTTCCTCCCCTTTAAGAAAGTTTTGTCCAACTTGGAACTTGCTAACAGATGAGATACAGCAAGCACTTAAAGAACTAAAAAATTATCTTGTACAGAAATTCAAAGAGCTGGGAGAAAGCCAGCAGAAAGCAAGAGAAGCACTCTTGAGCATGGCCCTGAGAGGGAGCAGAGAGACAGAGCTCCTTGGAGCACAAAGCTGGTTGCAAAGGTAGACTAGGAAATTGTAAGCAAGGAAACTGCCTGCCATTTTTCAATAGTGTTCAAGGGAAACAGAACTTCCCTGCAATTTTGTGTTTATACAAAGAAATTTCTGACTCATCATAGGGGAAACAAATCTGTGAGGCCCAGAATATGGGCTAACCACTCGGGCCAAGAGGGGCAATACTGGCAACAAAAGTTATAAACTAATTCTGGGTTTACAATTTGTTACACATAGGATCTGACTTCATATATTCAAAGCGCAGTTTCCATTGACTTCTGTTGAGACTGAGAGTGCTCAACACTTATGCAAATCAGACCCCAGGATCTCAAGTTGAGTGCCCAGAAACAGCGACTACCTGTGAAAAATCTGGTTTAAGGAACGTGCCCAGTTTCACTTAGGAACTTTGTGGAAGAGGCAGGGATAGAATCAAGTTCTCAAAGGCATTATTTGACTGCCTTAACCATGACACCATCCTTTGTTCAGCCCCATTGGAAGCAAGACAGTAGGTCGTGGATGTGCAATAAAGCCACAGTTTTATTCACTTAAATATCTGAAACTACTTGGCAATAAATTGTACAATATAGTTCATCATCATTTCCTTAAACATTACCATCTCTTTGAGGGGCTGTTGTCACCTCTCCGTCTTTCCTACCTGCTCCCTGACCCCCACCACCCTCCTTTTTTATGAAGGTTAAGAGGGCTATAAAAGGAGGGGGGTTGGCTCCCCACTATACCAGATGTAGGAGCCTTGAACCCCATAATGGATGCTTTCTTTCCAATCCTTTCCCAGTCCATTTTATCTGATAACTGTATCCTTTCCATGTATCTGCCCTGGATATCTGCTGCCTCCCCTTCATCTTGCATGGTCCTCTCACCTCAGCTTTCTTCCCCCTTCCACTCCTGTGGCTACCACCTAAACTTCTGCCAGCACCATTGGGTGGTAGCAAAAGGCACAGGCAAGGACTTGGCTGCTAAACCCATCAACAACAACGAGGCCCGCTCAGTCAGCAAGAAGGGCCAGGGCAAGAAAAAAGGGAAAGAGCTCTGCCCAGTTCGCTTCTTCCATTGCAGCAGCTGCTACTGGCAATGGTTCACCTTCCCTGTGCTGTCCCTTCATAGAATCATAGAATATCAGGGTTGGAAGGGACCTCAGGAGGTCAGCTAGTCCAACCCCCTGCTCAAAGCAGGACCAATCCCCAGACAGATTTTTGCTCCAGATCCCCTAAATGACCCCCTCAAGGATTGAACTCACAACCCTGGATTTAGCAGGCTGATGCTCAAACTACTGAGCTATCTCTCCCCCCCACCCCGGGTTGCCTGCCCTTCAGCTCCACAGGCATATGCCCAGGTAGCCACAGCCGTACCCAGTGCCCCATCACCATATGCAGTGGCCCCTCCATCTACCATTGCCACTGCTGCTGTCTCCTCCATCTGTGACACTCAGGGCCCCCTTTCCCTTCCCTGAATAGGAGGCACTGTGTTTGCTGTCTTCTAGTGGCCGCCTCATCCCACAACGAAACCTGTGTGCAGGCGTAGGCTCAGATGGTGGGGCCCTTGGACATTGTGATGGCTTCTAAGATGTACAGGAAGGTCATCTTCCGGGCAGCAGAGGTTGCTGCTCAGAAGGCGGTGCAGAATGGCATTTTGGTGGGGGTCTCTTTGTTCCCCTCAAGCCCTTGGAAGACCTGAGAATACAGTGATGCTTACTTCCATCCTGTCCTTCCTCCCCAATGCTACCCTCCTGCTTGCTCTCTCATCCTTGGGGAAACTGTTCTCCCCTCTTAGTCTTCTTCCTCTGGGCTGCAAGTATTTCTTCCTCAGTCACATGCTCTTATTCCTTAGGCATTGAAGTCACCATCCAGTTGCCGCTGGGAGATTGGAGGGGTCCTTTGTGGTGCCCTGTCAGGACTCCCTTTATTGCATACATTACTCATAGGGGCAGGCTCAGTGATTCATTTGCTGGACTGCGGGGTACATCTGAAGGGACTGTCCCTTGGCCCAGCAAAGAGGAGTGTTAGGTGCCTCTGAATCCCAGGAGGGCACCAGCCCCACCACCACCGGTGACCCTACTCATCCTGTTCCCCATCCTCTTTCCTCTTCAACATCCAGCAATCCTGTTCAGTGCAGAGAGTGGCTCCCCAGTTGTGCCCAGCTGAGTGGGTGGATCCCGCCTCTGAAACCCACTGGGTGGGGCTCGGGTGTGGGGGTTGAGGCGATCTGAGGGAGCCAGGAAGAGGGCCCATCTCAGGGGGAGATCATCCCTTCCCCTGTTGTCCTGTCCCCACTTGCTCCAATTGCCGTTCTATTACCCTTGTGTATTGAGCCTACCCCTGCTCAGTAACAACACCAATGAAGTCTGGGTGCTAGTAACAGGGCAGTAAGCTCAGCAAATGCAAGTCATGGGCCCAGGACCTCCCTCTTGACCCAGGGAAGGGCAGAAGGCTTCTCAGATGTCAACTGGTGGAGGGGGTGTTGCTAAACTTACTTCCTCACCACCTCCATTTCTGTTTTCCTTAAGTGGTATGTTACCATGCAAGGATAAGGATTTCCACTGAAATCAGTGGGACTACTACTATAATTTTGGTTGATCAGGTACTACTCCAAATAACGAGGATGCCAGAATTGTGCTCTTAATTAGGAATGTTAAAGCTTACACAAATTTTAAACCACTACCAGTAATTAAAGGAGCCACAGGTAAGTTTTATTAAAACCCATGGCCTTCCCATTTCTTAATTTTAAACTGAGGTGGTGAATATTTATTTTCTACTCAGTTTCTTTAGGAAAGAATTGGAACTTCAAAGATTTTAATAATTGAAATCTATCATTTCCTCCTTCTCTTTCTACCCTTCATCCTTTTTCCTCTTCCCTCTCTCCAATTTTCTGTGCCTATTATTATTTTCTCCTTTCTTCAATCTCCATTTTCCCATTTAGCACTATCTTGCTTCCTTGTCATTCCATGTTCTTTTTTAAAGACTAAAATTCTAGTAGGGTAGGGGTGGGAGAAGAGGGAAACAAACCTGCCAATAGTTAGATCTATCTCCTAGCTGAAGTTTTGTAAATTATAGATGGCTTTTTGAGAACACAACAGTATGAAAAATTATAATGGTAAAGCTGATATAGTACAAATAATATTCAAAGGTGTTAGTGATAACACACGCTCCCATTGTTTTTAGAGTAAGTAAAATGAAGTCAATCTAGCGTTCATTCTTAAGTTAAATATAGATTTTTTGATTTGTCATGTGCATTGTACTGTGTTCCTTTTCATTTAACTGCCCATTATGTTTAATTTCAGGCTCTTGATGGTTTTTTTTTAGCAATCATGACAGATGGAAGTATAATATATGTGTCTGAAAGTGTAACTCCCTTACTTGAACATTTGCCAGTAAGTATGAACTGCTTCCAGTAAGATATCAGCGTTAGTCTATGGACTAGGTTTTGCTGCAAGCACTATTAACCTTCCACCTCTCAAAGCACTTGGAGCACAGACAATGTATGTTCTGTCCTGAAACCTCTGTTTTTCCTCTAAAACACCTCCCCCCCCTTGTTATTGATGTGTCCCCAATCTTAATCTCCTCAATTGGAAAAGTGGAATAAACACTCTCCTCAAATGCCACTGTTACTATTATTCCATTACTCATCAGCTGAGACTGCTAAAGAGAAGCATGCTTGGTACTCTTGAAACTACTGTCCACTGAGCTTTAATTACCCTGGTCACTTCCCAAACTCGGGACTCACCAGGAACAAATATGCTGTTACTGCTTGACTGGGCTGACTCTTATGTCATATTTGTATTGCATCTCATTCATCTTTATTTGTACTGCTAATCTCATTGATATATTTACTCTCTAGTCCATGCTAGTATAGGTGTCACCTGGGAGTGTTACTCTTCTGAAACCAAAGCTAATAGTATTTTAAAGTGAGAACAGTGCTTTTATAAAATTCTTTATCAATTATAAACCTGAGGCGGAAAAAATGTGTCAATCTGAAACTGATTTATAAATGTCTATAAAATGTATCCACATTGACTAGAAATTTCTTACCTATGGTTCTGCAAAGCAAAAAGTTAATCTCTGAACGGGGTTAGAATGAGAACTTGTCTTAAAATGAGAAAATGTAAATGGCTCAATTTTCCAGCTAAACCAGATTAACATTTCCTCAACTCCAGAATGTTTGTTCCAGAGGGACAACTTTTAAGTTCGATTTTTTTCTTTTTAAAACATATCTTCTGTGATTGTTTCCTTTGGAGATTTTGTTCATGTATTTGTGCATATAAACAGTATCAATAATACTTTGTTGTTATCTAAGAAGAGCTCTGTGAAGCTTGAAAGCTTGTACCTTCCACCAACAGAAGTTGGTCCAAGAAAAGATAATACCTCACCTACCTGGTCTCACCTCTATTTTTGTTTTTCAAGATGAAGATTTTAAATCTTTGGTGCCACCAAGAGGCAAAAATGTGTACTGATATTTTAAATCAACAGTACACAATTTGATTCCAATGCTTCACTATTTGAAGTTATCAGAGCAAAGGAAAGACAGTAGGTTCCAGTATGCTTTTACATGTGTATCTGTGTTGTGTTTACAGTAACATTTATTTCTTTTTCAAGTAGTGTCCCTGTCGGTGATTCACGTCAGGGGCACCTGCCACTTGATTGGAGATTTTTTGTACTAGTGCCTACTGCCATGCCGAGGCTACATGGGGCTGTGTGGGCCCTTCTCAACTGCCTTCAGCCTGAGACAGAGTCTACTGTGTGCCTGTTTGCTCTATAATTAGTTAATCATCTTATAGTCTGTATAGTTGGAACAGCTGTTCCTTTTATTTTCATTTCCTTTAACTAACTAACTATTTTAAAAAAAACATTTTATTACTATGTAGTTAGATACCAGTTAATAGCTTTCCCCTTCTAGAGGTAATTTTTTATTATATTACTCAGGAATGCCACGCTCTCCTGAGTTCAAATGGTGCCTCTCCTGCAGTGAGGTGATTACCATTCAGTGACTGACATTCCCCGTGCCTCCACTGTTCGGGAAATAACACATATCCCCAGTAAGTGCAAGATCAAGTTTAAACTCCTGGTGATGAAGCAAGCTTTGTGCCCATCTTTGGATTCTAGGGCGAAGGACCATCCTGTACGTAGACCTTCCCTGTACGTAGATTAGCGTAGTACTGCTAGTGCCCTGTCCACATCAGGACCTTGGTCATTGGAGACTGCTACAGATGTAGGCGGTACCATAGCACTAAGTATATCTAAGGTACCAAAATCCTCAGTAGAGGTAGCCTTGATATCTGCCTGTAAGCAGAAGGAGGTAAGGAGTAAATCTCCAAGAAAATCTCGGTCACTGACCCATAAGAAGACTACGGAGACTTCAGGTCCCAAGGGGAGTTACATGCAAACTCCAGGTGATGCTAATACTGCAAAAGCAAAGAGGAATTGGATGTCTAATGCAGTGTTGTTGTAGCCATATTGGTCCCAGGATCTTAGAGACAAGATGGGTGAGGTAATATCTTTTACTGGACCGACTTCTGTTGGTGAGAGAGACAAGGTTTTGAGCTTACACAGAGCTTTTCTTCAGGTCTGGGAAACTAACTCAAAGTGTCACTGCTAAACTCAAGATTTGAACAGATTGTTTAGCATAAGTAGTTAACGCTTATTTTAAGGGACCAGTCAAGATGATTGTTAACACACCTCCAGTCATAGGCAGGAAAGGTGGGGAGGTTGTTAGTGGGTTACAGATGATTCAATAAGCCATAATCAGTATCTCTATTCAGTCCATGATTTTTAGTGAGTAGCAAAGTTATGAATTTAAGCTCCTATTCATAACTTTTCTAAACACTAAAAATCATGGTCTGAATAGACACCGGATTTATGGCTTATTGCAACAATCTGATATGTTGCACACTTTGACATCTTTGAGGATCACCAGTCCAGTTGAAGCCCATTAAGACTGTTTAGCACTGTGGTAGCTGTGGTTTCCCTGCCAGGGAATCAGGGTTTCTATTTTTTCACCCAGCTCCAGATTCTCTAGTAGTGGAGGCTGTTAATGAACAAGACAGACATCATGGCTCGAAGTCCACCCCACAAGTAAGGGCCACAAGAGACTATCTTTTTGGTCACAAGTCTTACTCTTTCGCGATGCTTCCGAGTAGCAAACCATCACGTGCTCATGGCCAAATACAACTATTTAAGTTACAACAAATTTAATTTGTTTATTGAGCACTTGCCAGAGGAACATCATGAACAATTTAAGGCAAATGTAAAAGGGTCAGCTCCTGGCAAAGACATTGCGTTAGCTGCTGCAGATATGTCATCATGGTCTATATCCACTGGAGTGGTCCTGAGAAAAGCATCTTGGCTTCAGCTGTTGGTTTCCCCAAGAGAAGTCCAAAGTACCATTGATAACCTTCCTTTTGATGGTGGCAAGCTCTTTGTGGACTTGATGGATACATCTCTCCACACTTTAAAGGACTCGAGAGCCAAGCTGTTATCCTTAGGGATTTATATTTCTGTAATAGAAGGAGATGTAATTGGTCTCAGATGGCACAAAAAGCATACCCAGTCCTGTGTTCAACTTATCGTAGGCCATCTGAGCCCCCGGCTGAGAGACCAAGATATTCTAAGAAGAAACCTTTCAGCTACAGCCACATCTTCTCAGCCATGTACGTCCTCCAAGCAACAGTTTTGATGGTGTGGTCGGGAGTATCAGACAGAGGTTTATACCTGCAACCTCCTACCCCTCCCTTCTCTCAGATGTCATCTCTCCCCTTTTGGAGACTGTATGGGTTTTGGAAGCCATAACATCTGGTTAAACTATCCATTTCAAATCCATCCCTTGTACCCATTCCTCCTCCCCATCCTTCTTCAGGAACCCTTCTTGCAATCAGTTGCTGGTGCAAGGTGTTACCTCTTTTGTGTTTAGGAGCGATAGAACCAGGTCCTGTACTAGCACAGGGCAAGGGGATTCTAATCAAAGTACTTCCTGATCTCCAAAAAGAATGGTGCCTGGAGGCCAGTTTTACATCTCATGTCTCTCAACAGATATGTAAAACAGCAGATATTCAGGATGATGACCTTCGCAGCAATAATTCCCTTGTTATATATAGGGGATTGGCTTGCAACTCTCGACCTACAAGGTGCATATTTTCATGTTGCTATTCACCCTTCACACAAGAAAGTTTTTTGTTTTCTAATCAACAACGAGCACAATCAATACAGGGTGCTCCCTTTCAGCCTATTTCTGCCTCGAGGGTATTCTCAAAGATTCTGGTGGTAGTTGCTGCCCATCTATGTCATCTGGTTATAATCATTCTCCCATATCTGAATGATCAGTGCAGATCATTTTAGGAAGTCTTGGCAGTAGTAAAGATGTGTTCTCTTTTTCACAGCCTGAGACTTCAAATCAACCTTGATTTTTGATTCCAATACAGCGCCTAGACTTCATAGGAGCGTCCCTGTATGCAGCGACTGGCAGCGCCTACCTCCTGTCCAGCAGATTTCTCACACTAATGACTCTCATCTCAGGGATCAGGACAGACCTCAATTAACAGGAAAAGATTGTCTTCAGATGCAGGGACGTATGTCAGATTGCGTTTTTGTAGTGCAACATGTCAGATAATATCTCTGAGGTCTACAGGAGTGGCTTTGAACAGTTTGAAGAAGTTTACAAATCAAGCAAGCACTGCCTAGGAAGATTGGGGGACTGACAGTAATGGGTTCTGCAGTCACTCATCAGTGTAGGTGTCCCATTCTTTCAGAATCCCCCTACCATAGTGATAACATTGACGCTTCACTTTTAGGTTGGGGGGCACATCTGGGACTAATAAGGTGCAAGGCAAATGGTCTCTACAAGAGCAGCTTCTTCACATCAATAATTTGAAATTGAGAGCAGTCAGAAATGTTTGTCTACGCTTTCTGCCTCTAATCAGATCCAAGTCAGTAAAGATAATGACAGACAATGTGACATGCATGTATTCTATCAACCATCAGGGAGCATGTTCCTATTTTTCTGTGCCAAGGTGATAAAACTCTGGAATTGGTGTATAGCCAATCAGATAGTTTTCTCAGCTTCTTGCCTCCCAGGTATACTGAACATCATGGCAGATGACCTCAACAGACATTTCTTTCTAAATTACAAATGGGAACTGGACTCTTGAGATCTCCACACAATAGTCTTAGCTTCGGAATTCCCCGAGGCTGATCTGTTTGCCACTGCAGCCAACACAAAATACATCAGGTATTGCTTCAGAGGGGGTCTCAATCCCCAATTGCTAGGAGATGCTTTTCTCCTCTCATGAATGAAGGGGCTTCTTTGTGCACATTCACTGACGCCGTTATAGTTAAAGTTCTCAACAAGATCAAACAGGATTGGGCCAGAGTTGTACTGATTGCACCAAAGTGGCCAAGATAAAATTTGGTATTCCTATCTAATCAGACTCGTCTTATGCTCTCTGTGGTGACTTCCATTCATTCCTTGTCTACTGACTGAGGATGCCAGTCAAACACTTCACCCCACCCTGCAGATTCTGAGGCTCCAAACATGGCTCCTTGGTTCTCGAGAATAGTGGTATCCTGTTCATCAGCGATACAACACATAATGTTAAGTAGTAGAAGAGACTCCACAAGAAATACTTACCTTCAGAAATGGAAAAGATATTCTCTTTGGTGTAACAGCAGTTGTCAGATTTTGTCAACTTGATCTCTTCCTAGGGTATTGGATTACCTGTTGGAATTGAAAACATCAGCTCTTTCTATGAATTCCATTAGAGTACACTTAGCAGCTCTTCCATTAGGTACACTTAGCTTTTCGCACACCCATAGGTTTTTTTTGTTCTTCACTGACCCAACCATAGCAAAATACCTAAGAGATTTGTTGAATCTTTCTCCACAAATCAGAGATCCTACTCCTAGCTGAGACCTTAACCTAGTCCTTAATTACCTTATGAAACATCCTTTTCTGCCATGAGCTCTGTGTTGTTTATTAGATTTACCTATGAAGACAGCCTTCCTGGTAGCCATCACTTCTGCCTGAAGGGTTTGAGAATTGGGGGCTTTAATGGCAGACCCCCATTTATGGTCTCACCAGAAACAAAGTTTCGCTATGGGCCCATCCAATATTTTTACCTAAGGTGTCCTCAAAATTTCATATTAATCAAATCATTCATCTCCCATTTTTTTCTCCAAAACAACATGGGACTAGTCATGAAGCTATATTCCATACACTAGATGTCAGGAGGGCATTACTCTTTTATCTAGAGAGAGGACCAAACCATTTAGAAGATCTCCTAGACTGTTTGTATCCACTGCAGACAGAAACAAGGGTTTGGTCATTTCAAAATAGAGGTTATCAAAGTAGATCTCTGTATATATTAAAATCTGTTACAACTGAACTCATGTTCAACCCCTTTGAGAGCAATAGCACGTTCCACAGGAGCACCAAGTACTTCTGTAGCCTTACTTAAGGATGTACTGGTTGCAGTGGCAACTTGGTACTCTGTTCATGGTTTCTAATCATCATGCCTTGGTGTCTGCAGCTAGATCAGATGCTGCTGTAGGCAATGCAGTTCTCTTCTGTATTGGACTCTGCTCCAAATCTCCTGCCTCCTTAGGGGGGATATTGCTTGGGAGTCTCCTGAAGTGGAGCACCCATAGGAACACTGCTTGAAGGAGGAGAGGTTACTCACCTTGTTCAGTGACTGCGGTTCTTCAAGGTGGTATGTCTCTATGGGTGCACCACTGCCCACCCTCCTTCCCCTCTGCTTCTGTGGGACTTCGTAGTGTTGAAGGAACTGAGGGTGGTTCACCCACACAACCCCGTATAGCCTTGGTACGGACATGAGGATCTGTGGGACACATGCGTGGGCTGAATGGGCAATGCTACCAAAAAAATTTTGATCAAAGGTTCAGGATGCAGGCACACCTGATGTGGAGCACCCACAGGGGGACACATTTCAAAGTTCTCCAGTTACTGCACAAGGTAAGTAACCTCTCCAACAGTGTCAAAAATCTGTGCAATCAAGAGGTGATCACTTCTTGCAAAATGGTATTTTGTTCCTCAGAAGTTGCTTTTGCTGAATCTATAATGTTTTTGTATGTTTGTTTTCTCATCCCTGACCTCTTTAATTACTTTACATTAAAACAATGGGCTTTGCAAAGATGTCATGTCTTGCATTATTAAAATGTTTCTGAAATCTTTTTTTCTTTTTCAGTCTGATCTTGTGGATCAGAGTATATTTAATTTTATCCCAGAGGGGGAACATTCAGAGGTTTATAAAATACTGTCTACTCATCTGCTGGAAAGTGATTCATTGACCCAAGAATATTTAAAATGTAAGTTGTATTGCTAAAAAATCTGGTAGATGTGGGAATCTTATCATAGAGTCTTTATATGGGCAACTCAGTTTCAGTGGAAGTAAATGCTTATGGGATTTCAGGGTGAAACGTATAGGTCTTAAAGGAAAAAGATGAGTCATTTTATTCTCTGAAGTAAATCAATATTTTATTTTAAAATTTCCCAATGACCAGAATAACATTGCATGTCATAAACATTTCCAAAACACAGGGAAAGTATTTCTGTTTATAATTTATTGTCACATAATCATAGCAGCTGGAGAGAATAAAGACCTATTATGTCATACACCATTGGAATCATACTTCCAGGCACTTCCCATTAGGCAGCTGTCCATGGAAACTTCCCTAGTAGGAGTTCCGCTCTTCTGTAGCTTCTCTGCAAAGCTGAAGTATGGAGAGTGAGTGCTGCTGAGCCTTTCCAAACACAAATCCCATAGTTTCCTCTCCACTATGTTGGGTAATTCCATGTTGGGGAAAAAATAAATGCCATAAGCCATTTTTCTCCATTGCAGCATGTATATTAAATTTTTTATTAAATATGTTGTTTGTGGTAGTGTTGTTGCCATGTTGGTCCCAGGATATGAGAGAGACAAAGTAGGTGAAGTATTATCTTTTATTAGACCAACTTCTATCAATGGAAAGTTCAAGCTTTTGAGCTATACCAACCTCTTCTTCTGGTCTAGGAAAGGAAATCAGAGTGTCTGAGCTAAATACAAGTTGAGGACAGATTGCTAAGCATAAGGGAAAAGGGGTAAGGCATGTTGTAGGAAGCCACTTGAAAGGAAATCTGCAACTGAGGATTATATTGTTATGCATAGGGGGTTTGAAGAAGGTGATTAGGGATAGTATGCGGTGGGGTGTGTTACAAATTATTGTAATGAGTCCTAAAACTAGTGTCCCTATTGCATCTATAGTTTTTAGTGTCTAGCAGATTTATGAATGTAAGTTCCCAGGTTCAGTTTTGAAGGTGCTATGCAGGTTTCCTTTGAGGATGAGTTTTGAAAGATCAGATAGGGAGCGATTGCTTTGTGAAAAGTTTCTGTCCACAGGTGATATGGTATTTTTATCTTTTATAATTTTTCTGTGTGAGTTCATTTAAAACCATAGTGATATCTGGTTTCACCCACAAAGTTATTATTGAGGCATTTGATGCACTGGATGAGGTACACCACATGTTGTGATAAGCATGTTTAGGACCCATGAATTTTGAAAGGTATATTGTGCGGGGTGTTGATCATTGTAGAAGTGATGATATGTCTGCAGGTTTTGCATCTGTTGTTCTCGCAGTCTGGTGCCAGTTTGAGTTGGTGAGTTCTGGTTTGTAGGGAGCTTGCTTCAGATGATTAGCTTGGTGAGATTGAGGGATTGTTTGAAGATCAGAAGAGGAGTTCAGGAAAAATTTATTTCAGGATATGGTCCCCATCAACTATAGGTGTAATTGTTTGATGGTACCCCTTATTGGTTCCCGGGGGAGGGGGGGTGGTAGGTGAGAGCTAGGGGTGTGCGGTCAGTGGGGTGTGTTTTTGTTTGTTTGTTTTTTTGCTGTATTGGAGCAGGTTCTCTGGGGGATTTGGATGGCCCTTTCCATGATGCAATCTACTTCTCTGATGGAGTGTTCTTGTTTAGTAAAGGCAGTTTTATGTGTATTTAGGTGAATATTCTGGACTTCCTCTTCAGAGCAAGTTCTGTGGTATCTGAGTGGCTGGCAGTAGATAACAGATTTTTTGGTGAGTCTGGGGTTGTTTCTAGATCTTTGGAGATCAATATGGTGATCCCTGGGTTTCTTGTGGATAACTGTTTGTAGGATTCCATCGTTGAATCTTTCAGAGTAGCATCCAAAGAAGTGGGCTGTAGTCCACGAAAGCTTATGCTCCAATAAATTTGTTAGTCTCTAA